CAAAGAGCACATAGAACTTTCCTTGTAGCTAGTATTGCTCGGGGTAGTATCCTGTTTTTCCCATAGTCTCATTCTGTATTCTGATTGAAATGTGAATATTAAAATATTATGTAAATTATGATTTTGAATATTCAGTTGGAATATTTTTAACTTCTAGTTGAAAAAACTTATTAAGACTTTTATTATTTCTGGGACTTTAAAAAATATATTAATAAACAAGATCTCTCTTTTAGCTTTCTACATTCTATTCAAATGCAGTAAGCTAAGCTTTTGCAGAGGGATATATATCCCCTTGGTACAGAACTTGACAAAACTTTCCAGCCTATATCTACCTAATAAGTACCATTAACTTGGTCATTTTTCATTAGAGAAACTTTTGGTTCCTTTTCAAAAATTGTCCTAGTACTTCCATCAAGAATCCAATTAAATTCAAGCTTCTTATCAGTGCTGAAGTGGTTTATTATAAAGTCTGCTTGAAAGCTGAACATTTTTTTTTATACATTGTGTTTAGTGCTCTTAAAGGGGTTATTTAGATTATTTAATATAGCTATATAAATAATAATAGCATCACTATTTAAAATAGATATTTTGATCTTACTCTAATATTAGTATTTTGATATTTTTGTTTTATTGTGTGCCTTGTTCCATGTAATATGATTTATGACAGGGTAGGAAAAGCTCATTAGAATTTTACAAGGCATTTGTAAATAGCCACATCTGACTTTCTCCTGACTGATTGATATTTCATTGCCAAATCATAATTTTTTTTTTATATTTAAATGTTTGGTTTTTAGAGTAATTTGATAGGAAATTAAAACAAAGCAATCTTATATACTCTAAATGTGCTTCAGTTTCTAGTATACTTATCAAATTTTCATTAAATTAGGAAGGTAGAGTTTCCAAGGGTTGCTTGTAGTTGGACTCATAGTTTTAAAACTTTAAGTACTGTACACACGATATCCAAGTACTATTTATTCCTCCATTAGATGTTTATTGAGGAGTGTTTTTACCAAACTAATAGATACCATGATCTCACACTCCGAAAGGTTTGGAATTTCCTGAAGGTTGGAAGTTGAGAGGAGGCGATAGGAACTAATAGAGATTAAAAATTATAAACAGGGCCCTCCCTGGTGGTGCAGTGGACTAAAGCACAGCACTAGAAACTAAAGCCACTTCAGCATGAGTTCAATCCCTGCCCTGGGAGTGACCCACATGGTGCGGAAGACCTCTCCTGTCTCGTCTGCTGCTCCCCTCAGCAGTGTACTTCATCAGTATGCCTGTTCTGCTCCCCACTCTGTCTCTGGTGAATCCTCTCACTGCCCTGCACCTGTACCTTAGTTCTGTATGCATAAGTAAAAAAAAAGAAAATCTTTAAAAAAATTATAAACAATGTTCTGGGAAGCATAGAGGATGAAATAACAAATACTATATAACTAACAGTATATTTTGCCACAGGAGGTCACATTTGAGTTTTGAAGGACAAAAATAACATATTAACAGGTGGCAAAAATAGGAAAGAAATGAAAGGGAAATGAAACAGTATGCATGAGAAAAGTATCTAGCCTTTGATAGTTACAAAATGAATTTAGCTACTACTTCTAATCACCTCTGTTTACCCATGATGCTTAGTATTAACTCTATCCTTTGAAGTCACTCCTTTAGGTCACAGATCTTTTTATTCAGCATCATAAGTCTTAATTCCAAACCCACTGGAAATATTGAATTAACTTCGAATTGCCTATAGTCATAACTAGAATGAACAAAACAGATAAAAAGCAATCATCCATGTAACTTTTCAGTGGTGGAAATTATCCCAGTGGAATGATCACATTTGACTGATCTATGCATATTGATATATTTAAGAAATGATTAATTTCCAAGTCATTTATCTAATAAAAATGTTGAGAACTTGCTTAATGAAAATGTTGAAGTTACAGAAAAGCAAAGTTCTTGTCACCATTGTGTAAGTAGGAAAGAGAGATAGCACACTTGTAATAAAGGCCTCAAACATAAGAGAATAAAATGCTGTGTTTAGCTATGAACACAGATATTAAAGGAACACGCAATAGTAGAAGCCACTAATTGTCATAAATGAGGTAGTTATTTCTGAGTAGCAGTTTAAAGGAGAAGATCATGGTTGGAAGGACAAACAAATAATATGCTGGAGTTAATTTATTTCCTGGCAAAGACATTTTATTTCCCGCCAGTGGCTATCTACTATGGTCTTTGCTATTTCATAGCAACATCTAAATTTATGCATTTTCTAAAGCTAAAAATCATCTATTGCCTGTTCTACATCATTGACCTTATTTCTTTCATATCTTTATGCTTTACTTCAGAATTGGACAAAAACAAAACTGCATAGCAAAGGGAAAATCTTTCTTATAGGTATTATGAATACCTATGAATAGCCACTAAAAATACTTAATTATTAATATTAATATTAAAAATCTACAGTTGGATTTGAAAAGTGAAGTGACTTATGTTTTCTAATAAATATTCTATTAAATTTCATAGCTATCATCTTTGACCAAGATTTCTTTTCTTTGGAGAGTTCTTTTATTCTGAGGGGTAAATTTTGTTTTTTCAGAATACTGGACTGACTTATACATCCTTTATACGTACTTAGGCATATCATTTTCTTATGTTTTCTGTACCTTCCTAGTTAGTGGAAACATTGTTTGTTCTTGGAGGGTGCTTTGTCTTCCTTTTCAAGAAGACCATCAAAGTTACTAGTTTGCAGCTTCCAAAAAGAAAAAGCCTTCTAATCCCCAGTTCAGAGGCTAACCTTTATTAGTGCTCTATTGGTTATAATGAGGACCCTGCTTCCAGCAGGGAGATTCTAGAATACTGAACAGATCATTCAACAAGTTCAGAGCAGAATCTGAAGTCCCTTCTAAAACCTGCCTGTGAATACTGCTTTCTTTGCTTTGCTATTTCTGGTTTCCATAGTATTCCTAATTACATAAATCATTTGGAGCATGGGAGCGACTTTCTATCCAGTGTCAATTCTAACTATGCTTAACATTTTAATATAGTTTGTATTTTTTTCCAAGCAGTGCTTTTTTCTTAAATTCTTTTGGAGGGTAAAAACTGAAGAAAAAAAAAAGTGGAGTTTTGTGTTAGAGGATCTATGAAATTCTTCTTTGGAGCCCCTTGCATTGACAAAGAATTCAACTTATTTTGTGAGAAGCACAGATGAATAAGGCTGAATGACTAGAAAATATTAAATCTAGAATTATCTACTTCTCTATTTAACTTGATTTGAAATGAACAATTATTTATATAGTCCTTCCATTGTTCAAAATTGTAGTAGGTTTAATGAGTGCCCCTATTAAAGTGTACAAATTAAATCTAATACATAATACTAGGTTAATGTTGTAGCAGCTAACTAAAGGCACTGCTGATTCTTAATCTATGTTTCTTTAAGCAATATTGTAATCCAGTTTGACTTACACTTTAGTTTTTATGTTAAATAGTTATAGTTCTGAAAATAAGTTTATTTTTCCTTTTTTATTTCTTTCATGACGTGATCATATATTTCAAAGTTAGTATTATGATAAAACTTAGAGAAGCAGTTGCATCAAGAATATAAAAATGATTTGATATCTGAATTTTAGGAATTATTTTTAGATTGGAAGAATGAATTTTATGCACACATCTCAATATGTCTAAATACTTATTGGGTAATAATTTCCTCTTTATTTATTGTAGTCTTAGAAAGTCTTACATTCTGTTTGACATCCTCCTTGGTGTTGAAAGTATTATAAGGGATTTTAATTGCACTTTGGTGGAGAGTTACAGAACTTAGCGCAATAAAATGCATAAACTTTTTTACTAAGAGCAAAATTCAGCAGAATACCATTAGCAATTTGCATAACTCAACCTCTCAGCAGCTTGACTGAATCTAATTGTAATTCAATTTCCACATTGCTACGCTAGGCCTCTCTGCATAAAATATGCAACATATAACATAACCAGTGGCACAGACCTATTTTCTTTGCTGGTGACCATTTAATTACTTTTTTTTGGTAGAAATATTTATCAGAATAAGGTAACCAAGCCCTGTAGTTATTTTAAATGTTTATGTTGGTCACATAAATACTTAAAGACTAAGTTAAAAAAAAGTGTGATGTCCTTCCATATTTTCTGAGTCCCTAAGATTTTTAAAAATAACTTTCTGGCATTTCAGAAAGCCATTGAATCTTGAAAAATATTAGCTGGCTGCCATGTTATTTGATTATTTTATACTAGAAAGATTTTATAAGCTAATCGTGTGAAAAATGTATAAACATGTCTGTCAAGTACACATGGATGTTACAGTGCAGGCCCACAAGTAAATATCTCCTATCTGTTTACAAATGCATACTGGAATAGCATGTCTGAATCTGCCACGCTTATATCCCAGTAAGTTAAAAACAAAAAAAAAAGTCTGATGAAATGCTTACTTAAGAATCTCTCCCTTATTTTTAAACAGCCTTGCCACACTATTTTATGGGTTACTTAAGCAGTGTCAATGAAAAGACTTGAATAGGATGTTTTCTAAAGGTATGGATTATATTTTATGAATAATTTCCAGATGTGATGTTTCAGGTATATAAACTCCTCAACGGGAAGCTATATACAGAAACAACATGGATCTTACAATTTTATCAGGACAATGCAAGTAGATTTCAGCAAGGTTGGTTCCAACTCATCTGTGATAAATGAGAAGATAAGGCAATCAGTGCACACCATGACACTCTGTGCAGCTAGTTAGGCACACTTCAGAACTATTCAGGTGTGCTCGCAAAGCTTATGAGTCTTGCATGGGGGGTGTCTCAATATAAATACATCCTTCATGGTGGCCACTAGTAATGCAGGATTTGCCTCTCTGAGACTTAACCCAGGTCAGATATAAATAATAGATGTTAAGAGTTAGCTCTAGTATTGGGGCTTATTCCAGGCAGTGCATTTTGGTTGGGTCAAAAGAATTTATTTTCCCTTATTTTCTCGCATAGTTCCTCTGCTCGAAAAATGCCTGCAAAATTCCATCACACCTTTGCGGGGACCAGTTTGGGTCTCTAAGGGAGAAGGTTTCAGCCCCTCAGGAGCTAAGGTGTACATCCAGGAAGTTCTTTTGGCCCTGTACCGACGATTAAAGTCTGCAAAAAAATATTATAAACAGGTGAGTCATCCCTCTTTAAAAACTGCTTTATTATATGTTTTAAAATGCACTTGGTTGTACATAGGCAATGATTGGCATCGTGTCATAAAAGATCTGTGACATGTGTTTTGTGAGCCCAGTTCCTGTTGGGGAGCCAAAATGTTGCTTCTGTAATCTCAAAGCCAACAATAATGGGGCTAATTGTATCTGTCTTTTGGTATGGGGTGTCATATGTCTCATCTTTTCTTGCTGCATACTGTGCAAAGTGAAGGCAACTCCTTCTGTGGAAATTCTATAGACAGTTATTTTAAATAAGAAAATGAATAGCTCCTAAAATATTTGAAATGTTCAGCGCCCCCCCCCCTTTTTTTTTAGCATGAAATCAGATTTGATATTGTAGAAGTTAAACTAAAATATAACTAGTCATATTTTGGGAATTGAAATTGTGAATTAAATTCATATCCAGAGAAACTCATTTTATTTATGCTTATTTTGTTTCCAAAACCTGAAAGTGTAGAAACAGAATTAATGTATTTGATTGTTTTAAACTAGATTTTGTTCTTTAATTTCTGATTATTTGTTCCATATTGTGAGTATAAGTATACATGTGTTTATATTTAGACTTTGATATTTTTATAACTACTGATAGGGACTTTGATTTTCCTTAATATAGAATTCATATTACAAAGCTGAATGATTGGTGCCACTTATAAATAAAAATGGATTTGCTACAGCTTTAGAATCCTTTATACATGTGGACTTAACTAGTTAAGCATACATTATATCATCTTACATAAGGAATAGATCTTATATTTAAAACTGGGATGTTCAATTTTAAAACAGGGCTCTTTATCCAAGGTCACAGACTATTGAAAAATTAGTATTTTGAAAACATCATGCTATTATTGTCTGTATACGGGGGAAGGGAGGTAGGCATGGGTTTTAGTCTCAATGTTCACACAGCACCTCCTGCTGTCTGCTTTAGAAAAGAACAACTTGTATTGACTGGAAGAAATTCTTGAACTAACTGCCAAGAAACACCTTCCTGTGAGAAACTTTTATTCTCAAAATGTGATTGGTTTGCCCAGTTAATTAATTTAGTGGATCCAGAAATTAATTAATTCAAAGAGTAATAATTATTGTAAATAAGAATATTTGAATTATAATTATGAAAAAATAAATCCAAACTTATTTTTAATGTTCTTTATTAAACTGGTAACCATATATTAAAAACTGGTGTAAAATATATTTTATTGCACTTCGGGTCAGTGGTTGAACTGAAATATCATTTAACTTTTAAAATATGTTAATGTCCTAAAATAGATTATGATTGATTGCTATCATTTATTTGGTATTAGTTTGATTCCATTTATTAGGCAATTTAAATTATTTAATAATGAACAAAATGTAAGACCTATTTAGGAGTAAAGGGAATATGAGACCATTCATTTAGGCATGAAAAGCACTTTTAAAGCAAATCTAACAACCTTACACTTTTTTTAGGTCTTATTAAAACACATGTTAAATTAGAGATAAGAAATAGCTCAGGAAGTAGCTATATGTTTTTTTTCTACCATTGTCCTAAATATTTATGCTTTAAATAGATATAAACTGTTGTACTAGATTAAAAAGAATCCTGTGTATCGTGAGACGATGAAACACTTTAAAATACCTATTAATTTGACTTTAAAGTTTATGATTCAAAATTGAAGAAAATAACATTTTATTAAAATAAATATTATGTAAATATAAATAAAAGTTAACTTTTTTAGCATCCTGAAATTGTCTATATCATCAACATTATAATTTAACGTTCTGCCAATTTGAAGAATATTTAAAAACCTAACCTCTTTGCATTACTAACTATAGCTTTTTTCTTGTACTAGTTGCAGTAACAAAGTTTTATATGCAACAGTTTTAATATATACATGTTTATCTAAAAATAAAAAAGAGAAAAAGAAATTTCCTCTTAGGCAAACTTTATTTGAACTGAATTTTTCTTCATTTTACCTTAGAAATAGTCTTTTCTACCTCATTTTATATAATACTGTGTTGAAGAATCATTGAGTAAAATGGAGATGGAAAATGATTTCTATTTCATTAACAACTCTAAACATTGATTATATAAATGCTGATATCTTTCCATTTATTCTATCTCTGAGATCATATCATAAACAATGCTATTGTTTTTCTGTTATTCTGTCACAAGATTACAGATTTTCAACTGGTGTTTTTAAAATCCCAAAGAAAATTGCTTTTGAATAAATTGTGATAATGTAGCTTTAAAAGAAAAGTCATAACTACTGGTTTTATGTTATAATCATACTCATTTTTCACTTTTTCATTTTAATTTGGTTATTATAGCATGCAACTGAATTAAGCCTACTACATTAATGTAGTATTAAATATATACTGATTCATGTATATAAAATGAGATATTATACTTAGGATAGCATAAAGTTGCTTAGTCTTATATTTATCACATTTATTTCCTTAAAAGTGGAAACATATTAGAAATTGCTCAGAGCTAAGCAGAATCTATTTAATTGGTAATCTTTGAAGTAGCATAACCAAGTTCTATGAAATGCAGTTAACACTTTCAGCGACAGGCCTGTTCCATCTCATTAGCATTCTTGTTATGTAGTGGTGCTGTTGGTGGGGGTGTTGAAGTAGGAATGCCATTGTGTGGAGTTCCAGTGTTTGGGGACAAACACTGCTGTGGAAGGAACGTGTGAAAAGGCCACAGTCCTGTCAGTGAATGAGGAAGGCTGTGCTTTCTGTGTGTTTCAAGCAGGGAAGCTGTCATTCATAGGCCTAACACAGCTAAACAGAGGCCAAAACACAAGCCTGTACTACCTTTTAAAATGATATTAGTGATTTTTAAACATGATCTTCTTTATTTATGATCCTATGTAGAATTTTCAGTTGCTGTTAGTAAACAAAATATATGTCAGTCTGTTGAGGAACACTGTTGAGATACATAAAAGTCCATGGAATTGTGCCAGTTGACTATATAAATAAGATTCAGCAAAGCTGATTTTAACTACGAACATGATTTTGAAGAACCGTTCATTTCTGAAAATGCTTTCCCAATTTTGATACTCCTTTGAAATGTTTTCCCCAACAACAAAATTCTTGGAGATTTTAATATAATGAATGCATAGCACTCTTTTCTTAAAATGCTATTTTAGGCAGAGCTCATAAACATAATTTTAATCATTTAAAGTGTTCACATTCTAGCTTAACAGTTGTACTAGATGGCATAATCATTTCTGAAATTCAGAGAAAAACAAAGGAAATGAGTATTTAACTATAATATCTTTGCAGTTACCAACTTAATTAGATGAAAATTGTAGTCCCTATGGTAAGTTAAGATCTAGTCTGTAGTAGCTTTTAAACTACTCCTAATTTTCAGCACTTTGGAAAGAAGTAGTCAGCTTAGAAATTAAATTTTAGCTCTTTTGATTATTTAAATAAACAGAAAAATGCTTTCATATTAAAGTATTGGGGATTTTCTAAACTTTGATAGTATATTAAAAAAATGAACTATTTATGTCTCAAGTTGTAGAAAAATGCTTTATTTCTGTTCATTTTAATTTGGGAATATGTATTTGGGCTATTTGTAATGCATCATTACTTTGTAAAATTTGTTGAAAACTATGCTATGCTGAGTGATTTAATTTTGTATTTATGCGGTCCTTTTTGTTTTTTAATTTAAACAATGTATTTTTAATACTATTTTATGTGGACTTTAAATATTCTATAGTTGATGCTTTGTTTTTAAAAATCTCAGAAGTAGATATCTATTTCAAAAATTAATTTCACTTTCTGAGCTGGAGCTAGGCTGTAACTTTATTTTGTGTACATATAATTAGACAAACAACTTTAGTTTGTCTTTTTTTTGTGGCTTAAAATTGAGATGTAGTTTCCTATTACACTAAACAAACATCTACAAAATGCTTATATTTTGTTAAAAAATTTTGTTAATGTTGGTTCATTTTACTCACACTTTAAATAAGTTTGATATTAGATATCAAGTCAGTAACAATTCTATTCAGAATATATTAAATTCAAAATATGCTTGAATTATTTAGTGCTGGAAGAATTTTTTTCTTGCAAAATATTTTAAAGGAATTTTAGAATTTTAGTTTCCCACAAAATAAGTATTAAGTTTATCTTTTCAGTCTATATTTCAAGTCAATGTCATTTATTAACATTATTGAAGGGACAACTATTTCTCTTTCATTCTGTACATATACCTTTTTTTTTTCTTTTCAGTCTGCTGGCTACTTTCCTCCTTAGATTTATTGAGATAAAATTTATGTATAACTTTATATAAATTTAAGGTGTACAGTGTGAAAATTCTGTATACATATATTGTGAAAGGATTGCTAGTTAACACCGCAACCACCTCACATAGTTACTATCTCTTTCCTGTGGTCAAATCATTTAAGATCTATTCTCTTAGTAACTTCAAGTATATAATGAAGTATTGTTAACTATGGTCACTGCACATAAGATGCCCATCTATATATGTACTTTGAAAATTGAACTGATTTAGCTTTCCTAAATACTTTGATTAGCTTTCCTGGGTAGTGCAAAAATATTTGTTTTGAACTTTTAATGTTTGAAACCATGGAACAAAAATTTATAATATTTTTATTACTAAAATCAAAATAATGTGGCAGAACTTTTAAAATGAAACCTACTTTTGAAAGTCCTGATAGGTAATTTTTGGGAATATTATGGCATTTTATTTTAGATTTGAATAATTGTTGAATTTTTGCCCCTGAAACTAAGCTGTATTCTAGTTACTTGAAGTATTTTAAGAACCTTAAACTTCTGTCTTTTTCTAAGTGTCATGCTTTGAGCAGACCTAACATCAGTTAAATGAAGTGAAAATTGCATTCTTGTCTTGATAGAGATGAAAATGGATTTCTGGTCATGAAATAGATGTAGTTGTCACTTTTTAAAAAAGGTGTCAGCAGTTTGCTTCAGCGAGTAAGGTGCCAATTCAGTAT